TGGTGCCGGGCCCCCCCGTACCGCCCGGCCCCGCCGCATCCAGGCTCTGCCCGGCGAGGTACGGGCTTCCCCGGGGGGGCGGCAGAGCCCAGGCGAACCCGTCCTGCCTTACCGGGTGGCAGAAACCCCGAAGGAAGGAGGTTACCAGCGCGGGGGGGTGGGGGGGAGTTGAAGCAAAGATGGCACATCTCTCTCGCGGAAACATCGGGGGAATGTCCCAAAAGACGGGTCACCTTTGCTCGCTTTCGGTGCCGCCGGTCAGGAGGAGGTGAACTCTGTACTCGCGGTGAACGTGTGTGGTCCTGCCCTACCGCCGGCGGTGGCTGAGCCCTGATGCTCCCGGTTACTATCTTTCTCCTGCCCAGGAAAAGCTCTTCTCCCCTTCGCTGGAGGGCCACAACGCCGCTTTCCAACTCTCCGCCTTTGGGGATTTATGCGTGGACCAAAGCAAGATGGATCGCTATCGCTATTTCATCTTTAACCAGAGGAACATGGTCGTGCTGGGGCTGTTCCAGCTAGCCTTCAGCACGCTCTGCGTCGTCAGCGGGTTCATAGACGGTGTTTTCAGAACGGAGTCACAGCTGGGCAGAACCAGAGCTCCAGTCTGGGCTGGGATGGTAAAGTTGTGCGCTTTTTTTATGCTTTGTTTTGTGTTTTGGCTTTTTTTCCCCCCCTACTAGTGCTCAGCTTGCAGGTGGAAGGGAGGACTTCTTGCCAGCTCTTCCCTGCTTTGAACCCAGATAATAAAAGTTTCCTTATCGTGGCGTAGGCAGGAGAGAGCAAGCAGGCTTCCCTCTGAAGGAGCGAAATAAAATACAATACAAAATGGATAATGGAGAAAATGGGACAGAGCGGCAATTGATAAGGTCTTTTGCAGAAGCCCAGTGACCCCAGAGAGGCCGCCGAAGGTTCGGAGGGGATCGCTTCATCCTCAGGTCAGGTAGATGAACATCTGCGTGATGATCTGCGTCCCACAGCCCAGTGCCGCTAATTCTGTGTACCGCAAGGAGGAGCGGGCAGCATCCGCGCTCCCTGGCCTTCCGTACCCTGATGTTACTGTTCGTACCCCGGTGAGCCGCGCCGAAGCTCTCTCTTCCATCGCCGAAGCTGCCCATCTCCTGGCAGGAATGACTTTGACTTTCTTCTGCCTACAAGATGCATAAGGACTTGGGAAAGCAGTGGACATTTTTAGCGCTTTCATCGGACTTCTTTAATCAGTTTTATTATTTGGCCGGAGCCGTAAAGCCAGTCAGAGGATTGCTGACGGGGGGGTGGCGAGTGGGCAAGGTGCATTTCACGCAGTGTCCTGCTCCCAGGAGATGCTTCCGAGGAAAACGGAGGGAATTGGCAGTTCTCTTTCCATTTCTGACCTAAGTTGCTCTGATCTAAGCCTTGAGGGCTTTTCATCTGCTCTGTAGTAGTTTATCTTCTGAACCCGATACTTGTCTCCCAGTTACCAACTCCTTTTGTGCTCTGCAGGTGATGGGAGTCCCAGGCGTCCTGGCTTTGTTTTCCTCCCAGAGGAAGAATCCAGTTCTCGTAAGCCCGGGGAGGGGGGAGGATCTGTGTGTGTATCACACACACACACACACACACACACACACACACACACAATGTTATTGGGGCAAACGAAAACGGTTTTGGTAGGGGATGAGCTGTCTGGTCCTTCTGCAGGATTGAAAGCTTATTATTTCCTTGAGTTATCTTCATAAAAGCTGCTACATTCCTAAGCAAAAGGAGGATGCAGCATTACCTCTCTCTCTCTCTGCTGCAGCTCTTTGGCTTCAATAAGTAGCCAAAAAATCTGTAAAAACACTTGCTTTTGAATGCATTTCTTTTGCTGTTCCTTCCTGTTGTTAAGAATTGTGTACGCTAAAATAGGAAAGAAGTGAATTGACTTGCATTTCCTAGGCAGGTCCCTCCGGCCATGTAAACACCAAGGAGGAGGGAGGTATTGTTTATAAGTAAGAGATCTCTAAGAACAAAGTCTTTGGGTCCAGCTAACACCCATGGTTAAGATTTGGCACTCATTTGTAGCTCAGAAATTCGGTATCATGGAAACCTTTGCTGCACTGTGTTTGGCTTCCAAGTGACTGTTGCTACCACGTACTTTTTAGTGTCGTGGGAGATTAAAGGCTTGTACCTACAACGCTGCTTAGTACATTTTGTCTGTACTAGTTGCACTGATTTGCCAGAGGATAGTTTTAATTCCTGCTCCCCTTCTTTTTCTCCTTTAATTTCCCTGTCTAGGTGAATGTGCTTATAGTTGCCTCCATAATCTCTTGTGTTGCCATCCTCATCGTAATAGTTTATAGCTCCCTCACGCTGAACTATGGTGAAGAGGAGGAGCTGAGCTCTGTCCCGGTCCATGTTATCCATACAGTAAGTATCGACACCGTGCTTATTGCCGGGGAACATGACTCTCTTAATCTGCAAGCATTACTAGGCTTGACTTGGAAACAGAACGAGACTTCCAGGATGCCTAAATTAGAGTTTGAAGTGGTGTCTGCAGCTGGGCCGCAAATTTTTTTTAAAAAAAAAAAATTGAGTAAGTCTACGGTTAAGTATCAAGTTAGTACTGAAAACCATAAAACCCACGCAGGGCTAGATGGACATTTTCTAGCTAGCTCCTGCCGTTCGCTGCCGCTGGAGCGTGGCAAGTGTCGGTGGCTACGGGAACTAACGCCCAGCTTGCCTGGATGCTCGTCTGAGAAGCAGCTGCCTGCGAGCAGCAGCTCCTCCCCGGAGCCGTGCCTGAACACACTATAGCTGGGTGTGCTGCTGCCTCTGCTGCTGCTGCTGAGTGCAAAAAGTTTCGGGTTGTGCCAGGAGAAAAATCACGGTGCTGCCCACAAAGAGGGGTGGGTGCTGGCCGTACCCCTGGCCTGGGTTGAGACGGCAATTGCGAGGCTCGAATCCTTTCCAGCGTGCACCTCAGGTGAAAAAGTTACGGGTCAGCTGGTTAAAACTGGGTAGTAGTCAAGTGTACCCTCCGCAGTAGAGCTGAAAAGAAGGAATGAGTTAACCCTTTTGTGCCTCAAACCTGGGACAAGTGATGGCTCCCTGCAGGGTTGAAGATGCTCCAGGTAGATGAAGCTGTTCATTAGTTTGTTGTGGGTCAAATGGAAACGTCAGGCTGCTGAGACTGCAAGAAGACATTTCTCATATTCAGCGCGAGGAGGAACAGCCATTCCTTGGGCTTCTACTTGTTGTTAAAGCTATTTCCAAACCTGACCCTGTTGCGTAGCGTCTCACGTTTAATGAGAAGCCTTATTTCACTGCGCGCTCCTTTCCTATTTGAGGTTCACGCTTGACTTGTGCTTCAGAGCACAGGAAGAAAAAAAGCCTTAAACACCGCTGACTCTGAATCAGTATCTCCCACAATGCAATCACAGCATTCTTGCGGTCATTAGGATATTTTTTTGGTGGAGGGCTTCACGTTTTGAACGGGGCTTTAACATTTTTTGCTTTTTCTGCTTGCAGAGGTTCGTCCTCAATAAAGTAGTCAAGGGTGCTAACGTCACCATGCTGGCTGCATCCATCTGCAGTGCTTTTGTTGTGCTGGTCATGGCTTACTTGGGATGCCGGAGTCTTCCACGCTGCTCCTGCTACGATAGCGAAACCGGGATGGTGAGTGAGGAGCTCAGGGCACCCATTTAATTGTACTGAGTGTGGGTAGGAGGGGGAGGAAACTGGGGAGAAGTTGTGTTTTTCTGCTATAAACCTAACCTCAGCTCCACCTCAGTCACCCAGGGCGCCTTCTAAGAAATTAAGTAGGTTTTGTACTTTTAAAAGTTTTAAAACTTTAAGGGTTTTGTACTTTTTTGTATTTTTTCCTTTTACTACCTCCCTCTTTGTCGTGATTTGGGCTGGGCTGGCCACTAAAAGGAGCGACACTCGTATTTACGGTCTTGTGTACGACCCCGCATACGTTATCTCCGCTTTCCAAACCATTAGTGCTCAAACTGCTGTGGCGCCATTTCCTACAAAGTCCTTCTCTCCTCAAAAACCGCTCCTTCATCTCTTAAGCCAACAATTTCTCCTGGTACAGCATTTCACTGGTACTTAGGCACCAAGATGCCTTCTCCCTAGAACTACAAATTCAAGAATAAAGATAATAGTAAAAATACCATGTGTGAAGGGGGGGACACACATGACACACCACATTTTACTGCTAATTTATGAGGTCTGTACCTCAAGTGATGGGGCACACGCTGCGTGTCTCTGCTGGGTGAGCTTAATAAACACCAGATGCTTCTCCACTGGAGTAATTCTGATGCTGCATTAAACGTGTACATCCGACCATCTCTTTTGGTAAGGAATTAATGGGTAGAGGTTACAAGGCAGCTGCTCCTGACCGAAGATACCAAGTGTGTGATACGAGACTGCTTTAAACTTTCAAACTAAAACTTGTTAGGAGGAGTGGACTACACAGACTTTTTAAATGAGTTCAAATATATCTTCTTGAACAAACTCACAGATGAGTTGTTGTTTTTTTTTTTTTTTTTGACGGCGTTGTTTCATCCATAGGAATGGTTGCAACCTAGTGAGGACCAAAATCAGGCTGTGGAAATGGTTTGCGCTGTACAAAGTGAGTAACTCCTTCCCTCCGTGTGTTTGGATATCCACCAGGGAGGTGGAAGGAACATCCTGCGTAAGCTTTACATCCCAGGCCAAAATCCTGATAACCAAAATACTCCTGGCCAAAAGGAACTCAGGATTTTGTGCAAGTGTCTACTCCAGGTTTAATGGTTTCCCCTTGCCTTCCCCACACAGGTCCCGGGGGCAGAATTTTTAACTTCCCAGATCGGTTTCCAGCCCAGGACTTGGACGCAGAGGAAGACGCATCCAAACCTCCACCATATGTCAGAATGGCTTGAAAAAGTGGTCGGACATTTTAAAGCCACTAGTCTAAAAATGTGGCAAGACAGATGTAAGGAGTTCTTCATCTTTAAAGATGGTTAAAGCACTTTTCCTTGGCCTTTTGAAAAACACACACAGAAATAGAGAACTGGAATGCCCGACGTCCAGCAAAGACGACAGTGTGAAGGGGAAGATCTGCAGATGTTTTCGGACATTCAGACCTTGTGTAGTTAAAATACCTCATTGCCTCTGGAAAGCCTGAGCATTTTTTCCTCCATCTTTTGTACTTAAATCCTCCTTTATTCCACTGGAATTCATCATGCAATTTGTCTAGCAGTGCTAGCCTTAGGCATTCAAATATTAAATACAATTAATTTTTAAATGAAACTGGTTGTGGAGTATTCCCCCCCTCCCCCCCCCCAACTGCTATCTCAATTTCTCCCCCTCACCCATTGAATTGTCTGGATGATATGATAATGAGTGAAGGCTAATGAGGGACCCGCTTCATTATTGAGCTTCAAAGTGCTTTCCCTCTTCCTCTTTGGATGGGTGGGGGCAGGTGAAGTTTATGATGCAAAGCCTTGCCGATGCCATTCGGGTACCTCTCGTCAAAATGTGGATTCTGTGGGGTGTACGTGTGTGGGTGCAATTAGTTTTGGTGCTGAAGTGTAATGACGGAGCGTGTAGGAACTGGGGTTGCTGTGGTTCCTCTTACAGAGTAACTTAGATGCTCTGTATTCAGTTCAGGCTTTTCTACTTCAACTTTGCAGACTGAAAGTTTTAAAAAAAAAAAAATGCTCATTTTGAGGCCCGTTCTGCTAACATTTATTGCAGATCTAGACCAAGCTCCTCTGTTGGAGGTTCTCTGGAGGACCTCTTGGTCCTCTCAACCAAGGAACTACAGCTTCCAGTCAGCTTCCATCATCTCCTGAGGGGCACAACGTTTCCGTACGTACTTTGTGATTCTCTTTCAGGTAGGTTTAGAGGTGTCTGTCGAGTGATTATCTTGCCTGCAGGCCTTGAGCGTGGTAGAAATTAGGTAGAGAGTGGTAGATTACTTATCCCACGATGCAGATTAACAGGGCACGTTCATTTGAACGGGGTTTGGCAAGGAAGTTCCCATCTTGAGAAAGTGCTGTGAGCAGTAGGATAAGTCATACCCACCATGAGACACATAACACCAGGAATGATTTATCTTATGGCAGCGTAGAAGGTGCCTTTCCCGTTCCCAAGGGAAGAGGCAATTAAATTGTTCTCGGTTATTTTTTTTTCCTAGAGACAAGTCTTTTTCATAACACTACTAAAGGGACTCGGACACCTAAATGGAGACCTTCCCCTGATAAAAGCATTGTACAGAAAAAATGCCCATCAGTCCTCTGAGTCTGTGCTTATCACACACACACTCAAAATGCCCCCAAAAGAGCTTCCCATGGGTACATCATGGGTACAAAACTGAGCATTACAGTATGGAATTAATCCTGGCAGATGCAAGTTAACAAATTTTGTCCGCCTTCAAAGTCTCTTGGGGTTGGCGAGGTGCAGAGGTGGACAGTTAGTTTCTATTAAATTACTCGTAAAATTCCTTCTTCAAACTTTGGAGAGTTTATATCTGAAGATGTTTTACACCTTTTGTTGCAATCTGAAACAGAAAAAGTACCCTAAGCTGCGTGTTGAAGAAGTCCTGGTGTACCCCTTTGTACGTAAGGTGCTTACCAAGTGTCTCCGTGACTTTAACCATCAAGATTATTAATGGTTGGGATTTTAAAGAAGAGAGCAGCCCCAACCACCGGCCTCCCTCCACAGCCCTTCGCTGGTCGCGCATCGCTTCCTCTGCTGCCCACCTTCTGCTGGTGCTCTGCCCCCATCCCTCGGTGCTCAGACCAGCAGCTTAACTGGGGGCTCCAGTGTTTTGGAGTGGTTTTGTGTGTTTGCCCGCGCCAACCAAAACACAGCTGGTGTCATTGCGGATGTCTGTCTGAAGGTATTGATGTTTGAATCGCTATTATTAAAGTAATTCAAGCATTGTAATTCAAAAGGCGATGCTCTGCCTTTTTCTCTGGTACGGCGCCCGTCAGCCAGCACCAAAGCACCGAGCGTGACCGCTCATCCCATCCTCAGATGCTTCTGGCGTAACTCCACGCAGTCTGCAATGGAAAGTTGAGGTTTTCTTCTCTTTGATTAACGTAAACCGCTGTTCTTGTACATTAAAAGAAAGTAAGACTCCCTGAGAGGTTATGATGGTTGCTAACAGCTAAAAGCAGCGTGGCTCTGCTTCTCCTTTAGCCTAAAGCAGATTTTGCCTTCGAAAGGAGCCGCTTGCTGGAAGTAGTTGCTGAAATGCGCTGCTCGGCCACTGCCTCGGCGCTGGGTGGGCGTTACGGTCCCGTCCAGAAACACCGTTCTGTAACAAGTCATTCCACAGGAGATGACACATGTACCGGGTATAACTTGACAACCTTTGGCCGCTGGTTGGACGGAGCGGTTAGCTTTTATGGCAAGCACGCAGAGAACGCGCATCACCAGCCCTTGCTGGAATGCAGCCCCGTTTCCACGGGCTGCGGAGGACGACCCCCACGAGGAGGGTCCTGGCACAGCTCTGAGGCACCAGTCGAATACTCAACCCCTTCCTCCCAGCCACGCTTCGACAGCGGTCCCTCGGTGGTGTCCAGGGACAGGCAGACCGCTGGCGGGTGTCGCAGCCTCTGGCTGTGAAATAGCCGTGACAACAGATGTTGGCGTGTGAGCGTGTAAAAGAGAAGTGTGATCTATGCTACTGCTGAATAAAGATGTATGTAATTGATTCGGCAGCAGCTATAAAGCCCGTGATGGCCGTATTTCTTTTTACGGTCCTTCCAGCGGTGCCGTCGCAGCATCGCTATCGCAGTACCAGCACCCAAGAGCACTTACAGACACACAATTTCACCAGTTCTTTCTACAAAAGGGAAGTAGCTAGAAAAGAAACACCTGTGCTGTGGAAATCGGTGGAAACTGAATGCCAATTTAATGCCACTCCCTCTAATTGGTCGGCATTGCAGAAAATGTATTCCCGATGGCAGCTTCCAGTGCTATATTTAGCAGCCCGTTCCGCATGCTCCTTACGGTGCTTTCCCACAGCTTGCCCGTATCTCCAGGGGCTTTCCATGGTTTGCGTCACCCCCAGCGTCCGCTGATGGCAGGCAGATGGATTTTTTATTTATTTATTTATTTTAAATTTATTTATTATGCAAACACACACATCCGTAGCACCTCCAGTAGAAACGGCCCCGTCATTTGCTCCCCGCGGGCTTTTCCTCATTGGCAAGATCCCAGGAACCGCGCCGACTTCCCCGTTCCTTCCCGGCACCGCCAGATCGCCCCGTCAGGGTGGGCAAAGCCCCGTTGGAGGCTGCTGGAAGGAGGTCCGGTGACAGGGTGGGTGTAGCAGCAGGGACACGGCGGCACAGTGCCTGGAGATTAATGCCAGCAAAGCCCAGCGGGGGGGGAAAAATAGAAATTTCAGGTTCCACCTGAGCCCAGAACTTGTTCTGCACCAAAACGCACTGCGCACAGGGATGCTGCACCTCAGTCACCTTCACCTTGTGCTTCACCGCTAAGAAGTGGAAATTACCAGGCATTTTGAAGGGGAATGAGAGATGTAAAAGTTCCCAAGGTCTCCTTGGGGCCAAACATCCAGCTTTTTTTTTTGGGTGTATTAAAAATCCTTACCCCGAGCAGCCGTTGGGCAGGATGACACCACCTCGCCTTCGCCATGGGTTACCGACCCCCGGTTACATGGTCCCACACTGCGAAATTACACGGACACCGAGCACTTGGTGCTCGCCCTGTGTTAGCATGAGTTGTATTAGGTCCAAGAGAAGGCATTGACGTCCAAAAGCATTTTCCTCTTGTGGCGAGGCAGCTTAGCCAAACCTCACCCTATTTCCCCGCCGCACAACAACAAGGCGCACGAAATCCCCGGGGTTATAACAGCCCTGAGCAGCGGCCAGCGCTAATCACGGGGCGTAATCAGAAGGTTGATCAGGGAAGCCGGTTCGGTGAGTTAACGTTCAACTAAGGGCAAAGTATTTGCTGAAGCCGCCGTGACTGGAAGGTGCTGGGGGGAGGAGGGCACGAGGAGAGGGTCTGCATCACAGTGAGGATCAGCGTTTCAGGTATGTTTTTGACAACTAGATTGATTGGGATTTTTTTTTATTATTATTTTTTTTTATTTTGGTAACTTCGCTTCCAGTTTTGTAACCCAACATACACATCGTGCTCTCTGACAGGAATATTTTGTTGGTTTTTTTTTTTTTCTTGGCCTCGTTGTTTAATATGAATGGTTTCAGACTGCTGCTGTGCACTGGATGCTGTTTGCTACCACCATGCGGGTTTAGTCTCACCACCCCCTCACCCCGAAGGCAGTTTTTGGGCTCCGGATCTATACGGTTGGTTGGTACCGTTTCTCCCCTGTGCTGCTGGTGCTCAGGGTCAGGGCACTGGAAGCCAGTCAGCTTTGCTGGGCACAAATCTCTCCCCCCTTTGCTGGTAAAAGGAAGTGAGAAGCCAAAGGATTAAAAAAAAAAAACCCAATAAATAAAAATCACAGCTCTGTGTACTCCGTAGCCCTGCCGGTTCTAGCATGAAGGACCTAAAAATTTAAGCCAAATTTCACTACAGGTAGACGAACTGCCCTAAAATATTGGGGGGGGAATACGGGAATACACAGGTCTTGCTCATTAAAGAAAACACATAAGCTATTTACTAGCCAGGGTTACTAGTGTATAGCAAAAGAACTATATGGCTTGGTAAATCAAGAGGGGTTTTTTTGGTTTGTGGGTTTTTTTTATAGTCAGCAGAAACCTCACCTAATATAACCAGACCACGGCATGTGCTTTTCGGAGTCAGCCTGTGTGATTTCTTGATCCTTATGCGTCCCTTCCTACTTGAGATTTTTCTATGGTTCCATGATTCTCCAGCACTAACACTCTATAAGTATGGGGAAAAGTCCGAGGACTGAGAGGGAAAGCTCAGCAAAGCAAACATCTTTCCCCAGCAGCTTTCCTGGAACGACAGCAACTGCTGCGTCCTGCACCTCTTCAGGTCAATCTAACTGAAAGACACCACAAAACGACATAGTTTCACTTGCACTTTCTGAGTTATTGCAGTAATGTCTTTTTTGTTGTTGTTGTTACAGCTTCAGTACTACCAGAAACATGTGGGTTCTCTTTAATTGGCATGACATTTACAGAATCACAGAATGGTCAGGGTTGGAAGGGACCTCTGGAGATCATCTAGTCCAACCCCCTGCCAGAGCAGGGTCACCTACAGCAGTTGCACAGGACGGCGTCCGGGCGGGACTTGAATGTCTCCAGTGCGGGAGACTCTGCAGCCTCTCTGGGCAGCCTGTGCCAGTGCTCTGCCACCTGCAAAGTAAAGAAGTTCCTCCTCATGTTAAGATGGACCTGCTTATATTCAAGTTTGTGCCCATTACCTCTTATTCTGTCACTGGGCTCCACCAAAAAAAAGACTGTTCCCACCCCCTGGCACCCTTCCTTTAAGTATTTATGAGCATTAATAAGATCCCCCCTCAGTCTTCTTTTCTCCAGATTAAAAAGACCCATGTCCCTCAGCCTTTCCTCATAAGAGAGATGTTCCAATCCCCTGATCATCTTTGTAGCCCTTTGCTGGACCCTCTCCAGCAGTTTCCTGTCCTTCTTGAACCAGGGAGCCCAGAACTGGACACAGTACTCCAGATGCGGCCTCACCAGGGCAGAGTAGAGGGGAAGGATGACCTCCCTTGACCTGCTGGCCACACTCTTCTTGATACAATTTATACGTTGTCTTAATTAAAAAAAAAAAAAAAATTACTTCTGTTTGTATTTCATCTTCTGTCTTCTGACTTCTGTCCATTACATGTTTTTAAATACATTCATCACTCTTTTTTTTTTTTATATGAGTGTCAGTTGCTGTAGTGAAACAGTATATGCAAATACTGTTAAGCCCTTGTCACCCCCACCCACTAACTAACCATGGGACTGATTTAGGATGGCGGCTGGTGTTCTCGTTTGCTGAGTTCTTTGCCTCAACCGTATCTCACAGGAGGCACTGCTGTGGCTCTTGTTTTTCCCTGTGCCGGCAGCCTCGCAACCCATGTCGGCCAAAAACTTTGGCACATCAAACAGCCCCTTCACCAGTAAAGCCCGAGAGCTGGAACTTTAAAGCAGGTGCCGGCGCTGGACTCCCACGAGTGTCATGTGCCACACGGTCACCCCATTGCCATAACAAAAAGTTTGTAGTTGTGTACAACCCTCCCTTTCCCCACAAAGCGTTGCATTACATTGCCAAAGTAGGCGTGCTTATGATGCCAAAAAAATAGATGTGTGAATAGACACCATCTCTGGTCATCATTTTATATATATATATATATATATAAAACCATAAATCTTAAATAAATTTATATATCATCATCTATCACCATGCATAAAAATGAAATATAGCTATTTAATGAAAGCTGAATTGAAAGGAATTATTTCACTTTAGAGGCAGTTTGAGACAGGCACAACTATTGCAAGCCTTGGAAGCCGATCACACGGGCTGCCAACGTTGTGCTTTTCAACAGCAGCAGCAGCAGCACAGTGACTCAGATGTTCGATCGGTATTGAAGTTAGTATTTTGTGGTAGGGATGAGGATGAATAATCACATACAGGAGCTTGAAAACCCCCTCTGATTAGCAAATATTTGTTAGCTGCAGCTGAATCTTTAGTGTCTGAAGCCCTTTATCGCGCCTCTGATTTATGACCGGGTTAAAAATATCTTGAAGTAAATGGAAAAGCTGTTGCATGTGTTTTGGGGTCGGTTTAATCTTTTTTTCCCATTGTGTGCCCTTCCTGGACCAAACAAAGCACCGGGTGATGGAGGGCTACAAAGGACAGGAAGAACAGGAGCACCTCAACACCCCTGAGCAGTTTGTGTTTTCCTGCACGGGGGCGGTGGTGGAGGTCCAGGCTTTTACTTAAGAGCAGCCAAGAACATCAACCCGTACCTCCACCTTTCTGCGCCGGCCCCAAAGCCCACCCCGCCTGTCCCAGCCTGGGAGAGGCAGGGCTGAGGGGTGTCCCCTGGACAGGCAAGGGCTGGAGAGAGAGGCTTTGCTGGCCAAAAAGCCAAAAAAATAATAAAAAAAAACAACCAAACAACCCAACCCTAAATGCTTAGGAACGAGTGTAAGTGCAGGGTCAGCACATAACACACATTTCCCCTACTCCATCCACCCAACTACTTGTAGCTTTGGAGCCACCCTCCCACCCATTTACTCACAGGCAAAAAAGAAATTCTCTTCCATTAACGTGCATAGTTTTTTTTTTCTTTTCGTAAACCTTCAGAACATCCTCGCTGTCCCACCATCCCATGGCCAGCACTTCCAGTTTAACTGCGGTGCGTAAAAGACGGCGTAATTTTGCCTGAACCTGTCGTCTGCCAGCTTCACTTGGTAGCACTAAGCTTCGCTTGGTTTTTTTGGTTTTTGTTTTTTTTTTTTCCCTTTTAAGAAGGCTGAACATGGGGATTTACAGCGCCTTCAGCAGCCTGCGGGTTACCGACGTCCCACTGTGAGCCTGCTGCCACGCGGGGAGGGGGACAAATAAGAGAAATAAGCCTCTCCAGAGCCGGGGGGTCTGCACTCAGAGTGACAACCGGGACTCAGATAGGCCACGGGAGAGGAAAAAAAATGGTC